TGGGCCCCACTTTGGGGGGGGCATTCCCGTGGGTTCCACCTCCCCAGGACTGGAACTGCCCACTTGAAGTTTCTCACAGGCTTTCAGTCAACTCCTTCGAGCTCATGTGTGTGCTTCATCCAGTCAGCATCGTGTTCCCAGGTATTCAGGCAGACTGCAGCAGGGGACGATATTCATTCCCATCTTCAACTGAATAACAATTGATACTTCTACAAAGGGTAATAAAGTAATGTTCCAGAAAAAGTACTTCACTGAGTAAGGAGGAACGGGACGATATGAATGCCAGGGGGCAGCCGTGGGTCTCGGCTTTCCCCTCTAAGTTAGTGATCCCAATGGTCCAGTCCACTCCTCTCAGGAGAGAAAAGGAGATGGGGTTGAACAATAATACATTTTCAAACCTAACTCTTCAGAACGAACAACTAACAACAAATGTGTCATGCGAACATTGCTTCTTCCAACTCTCTCAGTTCCTTGGAGGCGACCATTGTGTTATGCCTGAACCATCCCCTCAACACTAACTATCGCCTGAGTATCTCCTGCATAGACGACTACTTGAATAGTGAGTGAGCCAGGTAAAGAAGGAAGGAATGGAGGGATGAAGGAGGAAAACCATCATTTGGTCTGGAATCTGTCCTCCCTTGACCTACTGTGCAAAACTAGTTTCAGCCTCGCAGGAGACCCAAATGGCAACTTGTTTTATGAGTGTATATGTGTACGTGTGTAGTGTGTGTGCATTTGTGTGTGTGAGTATGCATGTGCCTGTACACACATGGAGACCAGAGGTGGATGTCATGGGTCTTGCTCTATCACTCTGCATCTGATTCCCTCAAGTCGGGGTCTCCCGCAAAGTCTGGAGCTAGGCTAGTGGCCATCAAGCTCCTAATGTTCCCTCATCTCCACTTTCTACAGTACTGGGGTTACAAAAGCACACGGGGCCACTCCTGGCTTTTTATGTGAGCACTGGGGATTTGAATTCAGGTTCTCACGTTTGTAGATTAAACACTCTTATCCACTGAGCCATCTCTCCAGTTCCAAAGATCAACTATTGAAAACAGTGATGACCTAGGGAGCACAGACTTTCCAGAGAACAAACGGGGTTCAGAGACCGTTTGCCCTGAAACATGTCTTCTGCAGTTGTTCAGGCCTCAAAGAGGATCAAATGTGAGTGATCCCAGTAAGTAGGGGCTCTGGGGCCTTGTTTCAAAACTGTCTAAGCTGGCTTACACATAGAGAGCTTACCTGGCATAAACAAGGCCTATCACCAGCACTGAGTCACCAGAACATGTAATCCCAGTATTTGGGGTTGGAGCTAAAGGAAGCAGGTTCAATGTCATTCTCAATACAAAGTGAGTTCAAGGCCAAGCTGGACCACATAAGACCCTGTCTTAAAATGAAGACGATGATGGTGTTGGTGGTGGTGGTGGCAACTCTGAGCCTTCGGCTGGCTAGGAATCAAGAGGCAAGGGAAGAACATCTCAGCTTTCTGTCATCTAAAAAGTCATTGTCCCAGGCCTCGAGGGATGAATCAAGCTGCGGTGAAGTCACCAATGACCCAGATACTTGTGAGTGAACTGATCCAACATGAGGCAGCCTTCTTGATGTGAGGCACCTTCGGAAAGTTAATAGCAATCTTTGCAAAAGAAGTTGTTTCTTACATTGCCTGGGAATGGCTGCAATCACATCGATAGCCACCCCTGGGAAGGACCTGGCAGAGTTAGTGTTGAAGGAAACCACATGAAGGGGGATTTAGAAAAAGGGGTTTAGAATTCAGAGGAGAGATGTCTCAGAGCCAAAGGATGGAGAAATGGCTTTTATGATACCGGATGCAGGGATGATTAGATTACCTCCAAAGGCCAAAGCTAACCATATGAGCCTTTATAAAACTGTGCAGGAAAAATGATCTGTAGATGAGTCAACTCTTGATTATTTATCCTAAGATTTCGCACATAGCAAAAACTGTAACCCACATGTTGTTTTCTCCAGCGCATATTTGGACAATTCGTATATAGTTTTTCCTGCGGCTCACTGCTCACTAAAAATTCTCAGGATCTATTTTCAGTGGCCTCTTCCCCTTCTAATTATGCCCTGTAAGCAGGGGCTTCTGGGTTTTATTACAAGATGGGATGTGGTAGTTCTGAGCTCACTGTCACTTACACACAAAGCCTGATGTCCGGAACGAAGAGCCCTGACTCTTTAGTCCCAACCCTGTTCAGGGTGTGGTTTTGGCAAAGCTCTTTATTGTCCCTGGGTGTCAGTTTGCAAGTCTGCCAAAATGAGGATGGCAATTCCAGCCTTCCTTTGGTACCTCGGGGGTTTTGGAAGAACAACATCATATCCTTATGGAAGTGAGTATGGTGTAGATGGCACGGGATGCGCTTGGGGCTACGCCTTATTTCCTGTGCCAGATGACTCATCCCAGCACAATTCCTATTTGTGTATGTGTGCTTGTGTGCTGTGTGTGTGTGTGTGTAAGTACATGTGTGTGTATGCATGAGCCTGTGGAAGTCAGAGCTCAACATCAGGTTCTTCCTCAGTGACATTTATTTTATTTTATGTGTATCAGTGTAGGCTGCATGCATGTCTGTGCAGTGCATGTATACGGTGCCCTCAGAATTGTATACAGAAGATGATGTCATCTTCCTTGGGATCAGAATCACAGATGGTTGCGAGATGCCATGTGGATCCTGGGAATTGAACCTGGGTCCTTTAGAAGAGCAGCCAGCACTCCTAATTGCTGAGCCATCTCCCTGACCATTTTTTTTTGTGGGATCTCTCAGTGAACCAAGTGGGCTGGCCAGTTAGCTCCAGGGATCATCTTCTCTCTGCCTGCCCAGCATTTGGATTACAGGTGTGTCCCACTCCATCCAGCTTTTGTATGTGGATACTAAGGATTTGAACTCGAGTCCTCATGCTTGCATGGCAAGAACTTTATGCCTCTAACTTGCATGGCAATTAGATCATCTCCCTAGACCCTTATTTCATTTTGATAACTTTATTGTAAATGAACCTTTAGATTCTTTTCAGGGTGGAAATTCAATGATCTTTGCAAACTTTTCTGAATCCTGTTTTATACAGGGTGACTTAATAATTCATCTCCTGAGCATATCCTACTAAACAGTGGTATTATGGTTTAGATCTTACATATCCCTAAAGTGCTATGGAATAATCCTTCTGTATGTTGTGGATATGTATTACTCTCATTGGTTAATAAAGAATTGACTGGCTGGTAGCCAGGCAGGAAGTATAGGTGGGACAACCAAACTAAGGATGCTGGGATGAAGAAGGGTAGAGTCAGAGGAATCACCAGTAGATTCAGGGAGAAATGAGATGAGCCTGCCATACTGAGAAAAGATACCAAGCCACGTGGCAAAGCAAAGATAAGAAATATGGGTTAATTTAAATGTAAGAGTTAGCTTGTAGCAAGCCTGGGCTATTGGCTGAGCATTTATAATTAATAATAAGGCTTGAGTGGTTATTTGGGAGGTAGCTGCGGGGAAAACTCCACCTACACTGAAGGTACCCTGTGTTGAAGGCTTAGTCCCTAATCTGTGTCCCTGATAAGTGGTATGGAACCTTTAAAGGGAAAGGCCAATGGGTGAAAGTTTGGTCATTGGAAGTGTAACCCTTGAAGGGTGCTCCCTACTCCATGAGGTGAGAAATTTCGATCTGCTGCATGGTACCTACCCAAATGTTTTGCCTCCATACAGAGCAAAACCAATGGAGCCAAACAACAACCATATGTGTCCTGAAACTTATGAAACCCTGAGCCAAGGTACATATCCCGTGTCTCCTCACAGTTTTTATGTTTTCTTCTGTGAGACAGCATCTCATTATGTAGCACAGACACGCACGCTCACATCCTCTTGACTCAGGCTCAGGTTCCCTAAGCTGTTATGGTCATTTGAAAGGGTATGGCCTGCATAGGCTCAGTGTTTGAGTGCTTGACCATAGTGGGTGGCATTATTAGGAGGTGTAGCCCTGTTGGAGTATGTGTGGCTTTGTTGGAAGAAGTGTGCCACTGTGGGGTGGGCTTGGAGGTCTCCTATGCTCAAGCTATGTTCAGTGTACACAGTTCACTTCCTGATGCCTGTGAATCAAGATGCAGAACTCTAAGCTCCTTCCTCAGCACCATGTCTGCCTGCATGCTGCCATGATGATCATGGACTAAACCTCTGAAACTGTAAGCCACTCCAGTTAAATGCTTTCCTATATCAGAATTGCCGTGGTCATGGTGTCTCTTCTCAGCAATAGAAATCCTAACTAAGACAGCTGGGATTGCAAGTATGTACCACCATAACCAGATGGTTTTTCTTCTGCTTAAGTTATTTGTCACAGAGATGGGGAAGCCAACACAAATGGGGAAGAGACACACAGAGGTGCAGAGTGAGTGCTTCTGGAAAGATCTCCACAATGACACTCATGGAAGTCAGTGGTTCCTTGGCAGCCACTGATGTACTGCGATTGTGGAGAAGCCGAGTCTTTCTAACTTTCTTAGCTGGAGACTGAGGCACTCACACATCTGAGACCCATCAGGCACGATGGGCTTCAATTTGCTCTTCCCACCACAATTTCACCCAATCAAATTCTACCCCTTCCTTTATAAGCCACGGGAAAACAGCAGCTCAGAGATTGGGAACTGTCCCACAGTGTGTGGCACAGAAAGGTGCCAAGAGCAGGTCAACAGGGCCTCGGGAAGTTCCGTCTTGGCCCTGTGTAGATTCCACACCCTGTAGCCCTGTGGGTACTGAGGGGAAATGGCTGGTCTGGATGGCTCAGTGCATACAACATGCAGAAGGTTGAGAAAGTTCTCTGGCACGACCATTCTGAGTCTCCATGAGCAATTAGCAGCATCCTTATTAATTAGAGGATGGTACATTCTAACAGCTGTCCCAGCCGAGGAGGCGGAGGAGGTGCTGGACCAGAAGACAGAGGTGTCTGTGCCCTCTTACCCTGAGGAGAGGCTCCTTCCCACCCTCTGCAACCAGTGCTCTTCCTACAGCACAGTCTGAAGACCTGTGGCGATGCATGCATCCGAAGGACCACCCTGCTCTAGGGAAGCTGGTGGTCAGAAGGGAAGCTGTTGGAGGCATGGGGAGTCTTCAGTCCTGCTGAAGGTGAGCGTCGACTGCAGGTGGATAACTGCTCTGGGTTGTTCCCCACTTTAATGGGGCTCAACTGGATTCTGGTCTTGGGCTCAGGGTGGCACTGGCAGATGCCTAATTTATCATATAACATTCTCACTTGGCTTTGCAGACGCCGCTGCCCCTCTCACCGCTTGCTGCAGCCATGGTCAACCCCACCGTGTTCTTCGACATCGCGGCCGATGGCGAGCCCTTGGGCCGCGTCTCCTTCAAGCTGTTTGCAGACAAAGTTCCAAAGACAGCAGAAAACTCTCGTGCTCTGAGCACTGGAGAGAAAGGATTTGGATATAAGGGTTCTTCCTTTCACAGGATTATTCCAGGATTCATGTGCCAGGGTGGTGACTTCACACGCCATAATGGCACTGGCGGCAGATCCATCTACGGAGAAAAATTTGAGGATGAGAACTTCATCCTGAAGCATACAGGTCCTGGCATCTTGTCCATGGCAAATGCTGGACCAAACACAAACGGTTCCCAGTTTTTTATCTGCACCACCAAGACTGAGTGGCTGGATGGCAAACATGTGGTCTTTGGGAAGGTGAAAGAAGGCATGAACATTGTGGAAGCCATGGAGCGTTTTGGGTCCAGGAATGGCAAGACCAGCAAGAAGATCACCATTTCCGACTGTGGGCAACTCAAAAGACTTGCGGGCTTCTTACCCACCAGACCATTCCTTCTGTAGCTCAGGAGAGCACCCCAGCCCCATCTGCTCGCAGTACCCTGTAATCTCTGCTCTCACTGAAGTTCTTTGGGTTCCATATTTTCCTCATTCCCCTTCAAGTCTAGCTGGATTGCAGAGTTAAGTTTATGATTATGAATAAAAACTAAGTAAGAAAAGAAAACATTCTCACTTACCCTGGAGCAGGGATAAGAACACAACTTACTGGCCTGCAAGATGGCTTAGCAGGAAAAGGTGCCTGCTGCCAAGCCTAGTGGCCCGAGTTAAACCTCTAAAAAGAGAGAACTGACTCCTGCAAGATGTCCTGACTTCCACACATGTATCATGGCATACCTGTGCGTGCACACACACACACACACACACACACGCACACACACACACGCACACACACACTTGGGAGACAGAGGTAGGCAGAGAGAGAGAGAGAGAGAGAGAGAGAGAGAGAGAGAGAGAGAGAGAGAGAGAGCTCTATGAGTTCAAGACCAGCCTGGTCTACCTAGTGTAGCTCTAGGGGAGCCATGATACCTTGTAAGACCCTGCCTCAAAAAATAAAACACTTAAAAAAGATACTTCTTGCATTGTTGGGACAATGAATGACAATAAAAGTATTTTTTTTTCCAAATGCCCAACACAATACAGATTCATGGCAGTTCATGGCATTAGGACATTAGGAATCAACCAGCAAATATCCCAAGCACAGGGGGATGGCACTTGTGCTTGGCACTGTGTCTGAGCCGCAGAGGGAAAGGACACACGAGCACCCCTGAAGAACCGCACTGATTGTAAGGAGATAGTGGAGGGGGTGGATTGAGATGTCCAGCATGGCAGGCAGGAGGCCTCATCACAGAACAAAGTAATTCATGACGCAGAAGGCGCATGCTTAGAAGGGAAATGTGTACCAGACAGATCAGGGAGGGCCTCTCACAGGGACCAGAAATGGATTCTCTTGTCCTGCTTGTACAGGGGACATGAGATGACTGTGTGGTGACTGTCAAGTACGCACATGATGGACTCTTCCGGAGCCCAGCTGCGGCTCTCTTGAGGCAGGTGGGGACAGAATGGACGGTGTCTTTGGTCAGACCTCTAGACACTCCCTGTATCTTGCTGGGCATTCTGCCAGGCTAGGACAAGTTCGGGATGACCAAGTCTACTGCCACTGACCCTGATGGCAACGGCACCAGGCAACTGAATTGCTACCACATTGTAGTTTGCATAGTCACTGTCCCTTTGGCACATGGGCTAGAGCCTAGGTCACCACTATTAAAGATTCTGGAAAACTATGGCGGGCCGTGCTGCCTAGAGGAAGGAGACCCTGAGGAGGGGGGCAGGCCCTTGGTAGTATCTTTGCTCTGGTCATTTCTGCCTCTCTCTAGTCTTTGTCTACTGAGTGAAGAAGACCCTCCTCTGTCACATGTCCCCGCCAACATGGCGTTGCTCTGTATACAGGGTGCCGAGCAGCCTCAGATCCCAGAGACTCTGGGTTCAGTTTAGTGCCATGTCACTGCCCTGAGGAGATGGTTAAACAGCTAAGAGCACTTGTTGCTCTTGCGAATGACCCAGGTTTGGTTCCCAGAAACCTACACTGCAGCCCACAACCACCTGCAACTCTAGTTCTAGGGGATCTGTCACCCCCTTTTAGCCTCCAAGGGCACCAGGCATGCATGTAGAGCTCATATATACCTGCTGGCAAAACATTCATACACATAAAAAGAAAAAATAATGAATAGTGTCTCCCCTCAGGTCACTTCTGCCAGGCTTGTGGTAGCATTGAAGGATACAGCAGGCACTCCGGGTTCTGGGACGGCCTCCGAAACAAACCTGCCTCAAGACTTGTCCTTTCTTGATGACACCCGTCAGCAGGCTGTGGTTCCCGGGGCACCAGGTGCACAAAGGCTGCCAGGTGACCATCCCTGGAGAAAATGCTTTGCAGAAAGAAATCCGAGTGGAAGGGAAGGATTTCGAGGAAGGGATTTCGTGGAGGGGAGCGCTGCGTCTTCCCACACATGAGTGGGGGAGGGGAAAGGGAGGGAGAGAAGAGCAAGCGCAAGCACAAAGGCCCAGCACAGCCTTGCAAAGTTTGTTTTCGACCCTAGCCCTTTATCTTGTGTCAAATACATCCCCTGGGAAAAGAAAACATTTCTCGGGGCAGTCCTGGGGGAGCATTATTCCTTCTTGCTGTGATTTACACTGAGGCTGTTGGGGGATGCCTGCATGCTCACCCAGGAGTATGAGGGGCTTGTGGTCTTGCAGGGGAAGTGAGGCCTCCGGGCTGTGTGAGAACCTGCCCTCATCTGTGCCCTGAATCTGCTCTCCAGCTCCCAGGAACCCAAATTTTGGTGAACTCATTACTATTTAAAGGGCCTTGTTATGAATTTTAAGGGCTAGGTTTGAATCTTAGCCCTGCTACTAAGTCACTGTGATGTCTCAGCATTCCATGGCTACAGGATGGAAGTGTTCTGCTTGCCTCAAAGGATTATCAAGACAATCCAGTGAGTGGGGAGGAAAAAAAAATGTGGCATTGACATTCCAATACACGTGGCTACAGATCATTATCACAGATGATGCAGGAAAGACTCAGGGCCAGAGACAGATGTTGAACTGCAGCCTTGTCACAGCACATGTGTGGCCTGTGACTCTGACATGCCCTCGAAGTAGCGCTGATCCTATATGCCCCATTTCACGTGCAGAAGAGTCAGTGAGGCCATGATGATGAAGAGGCTTTGTGTGGCGACCTGTGGCATAAAGTGATGTGTTAGCGCCGTTGTGAATTCTTCCCAGGGTTGGACCAGTTCAGAGGACAAATAGTAACGTGCAAAGAAGGATCCATGGTGTGTGGCCGTTTCAGCGGCCTGGCGCCCTCAGAATACTCTCCTTGTGAGAGGAACTCTGCTTGACACTGCCCAATCCATGGTGCGCACTCTCGCTTTGGCTGTAACTGGGATACGGAAGTGAACACTCACTTCCAGCTTGTGAAACTGGAAAGCCCCAGAAGCAGGAAACACAAACCTTAGCAGAATCTCAGAGTAGTCACCAAACACTCCTCTTTTCTTCTGTCCTAACTAGCAGAGCCCTATTTGAAGAGGGAGCAGAGGAGCACGCACACAGAATGAATGTCCTTTTCCATTTCCGGGTGCAAACACGGTGGCCATGCGGCCCCTTGGACCAGAGAGACTTAAACAGAAGCTCCCAACCGAGCCTAACAAACTTTCCCTATGCCCTTTGCTCCTCTGCCTCACTTGGCTAATGTCTGGAATGCAGCATGGTGGAGCTGTGACAACCCCCAGGTTGTAGGGGCGATAGAATAAGGGTGGTGTCACAAACTGGCAAGGATTCTGGCATGTCAGTGACGTTACAAAATTGCCAGCCTGACCTTAACCTGCCTCCCTGTAACTCTCATATAAGAAAAAAAAAATAAAACAAGAACAACAAAAACAACAACCTATCTAATCTGATTTCTTTTCTCATGATCTCTGTTACAACAGAAAGCAAGCATTGGCCGGATCCCAGAGCAGCGCATTTACGGATGGCAAGGCTGAGGTCTAAGGAACAGCACTGAGTGGACAAAGCAAAGATGAAGCATGCGCGTTAGGCCTCCCACTTCCAGGAAGCGCTCTGCCGCTGAGCTACGTCCCCAGCCTCACCTCTTATTCTTTCTGAAAAATTTATCTACAATTATATTTATTTAGTGTGGGGGTGCAGGTTTGGGTATATGCTTGTTGTGTGAGTTCATTGAAGAGGTCAAAAAACAACTTGTAGGGGTTGTCTTTCCATCTACCAAAGTGGGTCCAGGAGGGGTTTGAACTTGGGCTTTCAAGCTTCATGGTAAGAGGCTTAACCCAGGGAGCCATCTTGATGGCCCCTCCTTTATCTTTTTTTTTTTTTTTATTTTGAGACGAAGATTCTTACCAATTTGTCCGTGTAGACCTTGAACTTTTTAGCTCTTGAATGGTAGTTATTGCAGGCCTGTGACCCTGGACCCAGCTTTGCACTTTTTTTTTTTTTTTTTTTTTTTGGTCCGTTGTATCTTTCTCAACCAAAAGACCAACACCTCTTGGGTTATTTCTGGGTGGGGAAGTAGCAAGGCACCCCAGTTGCCATTTTTCAGTTCAAAACAACATGAAAGATCCATTCTCAAGGTGAGTAAGAATCCCTACAAAGAGAGACCTGGTGCTCTGAAAGGCCTCCAGTCTTTATGTGAGAGAGGAAGAGAGCACGGGCCAGCAGAGGCAAGCAAGATGCCACCCCCAGAGCCGACTGCACTGCTGTGGAATGCCTCTCCCTGACACACTACCTTTCCCTGAAGGAAAGCCACACCCGTGTCATACCAGCAGGGCATACATCCCTTATCTCTTGACGCTCCGGGGATAGAAGCTATATTCTGGATAGCCCCAGCACACTTGAATAGCCTGTGCATTCCTAGACCTCTACATGGCCAGAGGAAGTCAAACCTCACTTTGGAAACACCAGCGAGACTGGCAAATCTTACATTTCTCAAACAAGACTCTGAACATGGCTAGAAGCTGGCATTGAGCCCTTCCAGCCTGATCCACACGGGGATCCTGGGCTGAGTAAGGCACCGTTTATGTGACATGACTCACTATGATGCTAATCTCTGAGTAAGCCCACTCCATGAACTGCCAGAATGGAGTGCAGTGGTGATATCATGGAACAGGGCCTGCCTCTGCAGATAAAAGGGACTGAAGAGCTCATGTGATTACCAGCGAGTCTGTAACCCTCCAGTCCTCTTCCAAGTGCTTGCAGATTAAGTAAGAGTACCCTTTTAGCTATTTAAACGAAGCGTCTCAGAACACATGTGGGCATGCTGATGTTTGCTCTGCTTTTCTTCCACCAGAATCTGTGTATCCGGGCTGTCTTGATGTCCTCCAAGGCACAGAGCAACCCAGCTCCTCAGTTCTGTCTTACGTTGACCCCTCACTGATGTTTTAAGTACAACCCTCAATTCGAGACTGTACTGTTTAAATACAAGGAATCCTAAGAAACACCAATCCCATTGGTGCTAAGTCATCAGTTACTTAAAGAGAAGTCTTCCTTACACTTCCAGAAAGGTGGAGTGAATGTTTCTTTACCTCACTGGCTAAAGCACAATGAAAACCCTGGACACTGTATGTAAGAAAATGCTTGATGATTTCGAAA